AATAACAAAAAACCAAGAAGCCCTAAAGCAATATCTTAGTGTGTAACTCAGAGACAAGATGGATGCAATTTTCCAATACATCATAAACTCTAGATCTTAACCAAGTATTCTGTTGTTCATACACTCATGGCAGTGTCTCATGGGTCAGGAGATTCTTATGAAATGAAGTAGACTAGAAAACAACTGCAGTAATATTTCATTTTTACTTGGATAAAAATCAGCACAAAATATCCTAGTAGGCAAATACCATCTCATATAATTCTTTGACCTAAGCTACTTTACAGCCACTGAAACCTTAGACTTATGGGGAAGCATGGAACCTTTGATAAAGGAACTTGAAACTTAGCCAATATATGCTCTATACATATTCCTCCAGGCTTTCTTGTGGATGGCCAGAAACCACTTATGAGAACAATCCTACCCTGGGCAAAGGTAAGTAACCAGCTCTTCTATGGCTTATTGGATCCTGACTCTGAGCTAACACTAACCTTAAGTGATGGAAAAACACCCAAGGTACATACTTGCCAATGGGTCTAATGGAAATAATTTAAATATAGCTTTGATCTGCTTTTTTCTTTCATTGGGTCTGAGACTAGATATATAGGTGATCATTATTTACCCATACTCAGAAATCATACTGGGTATAGATATACAGAATAAAACAGAATCCTCATCTTAGTTTCCTGCCCCTGATCTCTGGAAACAGTGTTATAATTATTGGAATTTTCAAGTGGATGTCTGCAAAGGTACTCCCCCAATACATTCTCTACTCAGACAGTAAACAAAAAGCCATATTGCATCACTGGGGAGAAGTGCAATGTTTAGTGTTTTTATAAAGACTTGAAAGATGCAGTGGTGAAAATCCCAATTTATCACTGTTAACTCCTCTGTCTGAGGGGGAAAGAATTGAAGATCTTCTAAGTGGAGATCATGAATGAACAACTTTTTACAGGTAGAGAAGTTGAAGAAAGGATGCAGGATTAATAACATTTATTTTGAGAAATAAAATTGAGGAAATCAGTTTGGAATAAAAATATATCTATATATCTCTTGAAACAATACAATTCAACAGCATCACACTAGAATTCAGTGGTTGTAGCCTTTGAGGAATACCCAATACATTGTGAGGTCATTAAATTTGCCAAGGAGGCTGAGAGACTGTCACATTTCATTGAATCTTCAAAGTTATAGACTAATCAGAAGCTGAAACTCCAATACTTTGGCCACCTGATGCAAAGAACCAACTCATTTGAAAAGAACTGATGCTGGGAAAGATTGAAGGTAGGAGGAGAAGGTGACAACAAAGGATGAGATGGTTGGATGGCATCACTGATTCAATGGACATGAGTTTGAGTAAACTCTGGGTATTGGTGATGGACAGGGAGGCCTGGCATACTGCAGTCCATTGGGTCACAAAGAGTCAGACACGACTGAGTGACTGAACTGAGTGCTCACCCATATGCACAGAATTCTAGCCATACATACATAAACTGGAGGCTCCACGAATGAGGTGGATGAAGTGACCTTCTTCCTGAGTCTTAATCAACCTCCTTCTCCCCACACCAGACTACATGTTCACAGGGCCCTTGTACAAAGTGGCCATAGCAGTTGAAATGAGTTCAACATAGCCATCTTCTCACTAAGGCTAATTTGGTTAACATTATTGTGAGGTGTCAAAATGGGCAGACGGGCCTGGCAGATGGCTATGGTCCATAGAGTCACAAAGAGTCAGACACAACTGAAGTGAGTTAGCATGCGTGCATGAGGTGTCAACAAGCAAAAAAAAAAAAAAACACTTTTCTCAGAGGATTGGTAAACCACTAGGTAACAGGATGATTAGATTAGACAGCTTCCTACTAATCCAGAGTTGCAAAGGTAATGATTTTCCTCTCATAAATTATCACATACTGGGGGAATTATTTGCTTTATATTTCTTACTGGCTTTTTCTTGTTAGCATCTATAGATGTAGACAAAAATACTGCCTTTCTTATGACCATGGTATGCATTAAACATTTCCACTTCTAAGAGGTACATTCCATGGCAACCTCTTCCAATCCACAGAAATAATTGATTTTACTATTTATACCATTATTCAGAAGCAATTAGCCTGAGAAAGTCATGTCGTGGTTATATGAAAGCTCGATCATGGTTGTTGAGGTATATTTGTGCTTTAAAACAACAGTGAGTATATGACCTCATCTTCCCCTTATTAAGAAAGTGAACCAAGGAGATGAGGTGGGCATGGACCCTGTGGTGGCCAGGAAAATAAGCCTTTCAAAAATCCAAATGCAGACAGTATAATTGTCCAAAGATACTAGCTGCTGATCTCTGAACAATCTGTATCAAAGGTCATGCTTCCCACAAGGTGCTCTGAGCTAAAGACTAAGCCAGACAAGGATATCAATGCATTCTTAGACACTAGACTCCCTTGACCAAAGACTAAGCAATGCTCTCAGATGATTTTGTCCATCTTTCCATCCATTTCTTCTTCACTTGTGGTCATACTTGCATCAGATGATGATAATCCTTCCTTTTTTTTGTTGTTTTTTTTTTCTGGCTCCCTCTACGTTTTCTCTGATACAAGCAGAGTATTTTCCCAAATAAAATCTTTGCACTTTTATAGCCTATTTTATTGACTACTACAAGATGAACTAACTAACTTGAATTTAATTTCCCCACTCATAATCCTGTACTCAGTTCATTTGGAGGTCTGCATGGACAAGGATGAAATGCTTCCCCAGGGAAACACCTCAGTGCTCTGATGAATTGCAATTTGGGTCTGCAACTTGGCCATGGTGGACTCCTCATGCTTGATCTGACTGGGGTGTCTCTATTGGGAAAGGCAATTGATCCCAATCATCAGAGAGAAATTAGCTGTGACACAAAGTGTGTCAAGAAGAATCATGTTTTGAAGCAAGGGGATTTAACAATATATTTCTTAGCATCAACGTAGTCCTCTCTTTCAAAGAAAAAGTACTGCCAACAAACAAATGATCAAAATAAACAAACAAACAAAACCCCAAGATGACTGAAGACTCAGATCTAACACTAAGAAAATCTGGACAACTTACATGATAACTCTTATTCAGCTGAGATGCTGAGAAAGATTGAATGGGCCAGTCTCATGCAAGAATGGAGACAGAGGTTTGCTTTCTAATTACAGAAGTAGAAACTTACAGTATTGTAGTATATAATTTTACAAATTTTAGATCCTGTCACTCACTTCCTTTTTCTTTCTTTTTTTTTAAACTAGATATGAGACAATATGAATTCAAAACTCATAGAGAATGATTTTGTGGTTATCACAAGTACTGCTATCTAGAAGTCTATAAGTGGTTAGTCTTCATCCTGTTTTCAAAGAACATGAGTTTTTTATCTCCTTAATGTAAGTACAAATTAATTTTAAAAATTAAATTTTTAATTAGAAAAGAAAAATAAATAAAAATTAAAAAAATAAATCCAAGATATTTTTGCGTGGAGGAGAACATTCACAAACAATTGTATTTATGAAAGTTTTTATTAAAACTCATGAAACTAAAAAACACATTTTAGAAACTGCTTTCTTTTAAGACTTCAAACTTCATTTGCGATTTGTGAAATAAAATTTCTTTAGAAATGTATGCTATAATTTCAAATTAATGTTGAAGAATATAGGATGACATATTTTCCAGTTTCACTTTAACTTCTATCGACTAAATTGTTGCCACTCTAATACACCAATTTGATCTGTTAACATTACTTCAAATGAATATATTTTGCACAATTAAAAGTTATTAGTGGGTAATAGATATCATTTAAAAAATGAGTCTAAGTTGGCATAAATAGCTTTTGGTTTTAGAGCGTTTTCTAGATCAAGCTTCTTGAAATTACACTGTTGGACCCAGTCTCTGTTGATTTACTGTGTGTAACAACTGGTAGTGATTATATAGGTTGGATTACATTTCCAGGTTAATATGTGATTAGCTTTTTCTTCTCTGAGTGAAGCTGCTACATTTTGGTGATCACTTACATTTTGCTTTCTTGCATTTTTTTTTTTTTTTACTGCTTTTAGCTATAGAAAGAAGGATGTATTCAGATTTTATTGACATAGATTACATTAATATTTGTCTCACTTTATAAAATGAAAATTATGTTCATCTCATGATTTTTGATTTCTTGTTTGATCACTACCTTTATATATTCTTTAAATAAAAATTTCACTTCAGAATAATGTGTACTCATAGATATTTACTTCTCAAGCTGTTTCTTCTTACTATAATTATTATTATTATTTTTTATAGTAACTGTGTTTTGATGCTCAAAATATCACAATTGGAAATAGGAGTCTGTGTATATTCACTATGATAAAATGTAAGAGGAGCCCAGGGAGATATATAGTGATTCACAAAAATCATATATATGGGAATTCAGCTCAACTTTTCTCCATTGAGTAATAAATGTGAGACAAAGATTGAAAGGATGTGCTTGCTGAACCTAGTTGTATTATTTTATGGGTGACTCTGGGCCTTTTTTTAGCTATTCTGGGGAAAAGCACATAAAAATGCTTAAGAAATTCTGTTATGGGAATGGAGAGTGATGATTTCAACTAATTAATATTTGTAGAAAATTATTAAAAACTCATTTAGCATTTTTGTTTCTATTTCTAGGGAAAACCACGCAGATACTATTCAATGAATATCAGTCAGCCAAAGAATTCACATGCTAAAGGAGTGGACAGTTCTGTCTCTTTATGCATGTAGAAGAAGTGTTTTATGTTTTGAGTTATTTGCTTTTATTCTAGAGTAACATGAAATTTAATTCAAGTCTTTATCTCCTAGATTCCCCTAATTTTCTTGTTTTAGGCCTCTTGAATTGTCAGGTAGCAAGAATGCAAATTCTTTAGTTTGGTTTGTACAAATTCTTAGTTGTAATAGACACAGCACGATGGCAGCTCTGCTTGAAATAGAGTAACCTTATCAAAAACTATCTCCACATCTCCTTAGAAGGAGAGACTCTTGATTTATTTGAGGAGTTTATTCAGAGCCTCTTTCACATCCTTATTCCTCAGACTGTAGATCATAGGGTTCAACATTGGGAACACTACGGTGTAAAACGTAGAAACTATTTTATCCCTGTCCAATGAATAGCTTGATTGTGGACAAGAGTAAATGTAGAGAATGGATCCATAGAACAGGGTGACAGAGATGAGGTGTGAGGAACAGGTGGAGAAGGCTTTGAGGCGGCCCTGGGTGGAGCGGATCTTCAGGATGGTGGCGATGATGAAGAGGTAGGAGGCCAGGATGAGCACAGTGGGGGTGATGACGTTGGAGGCGAGGACAAAGAACAGCACAGCCTGGTAGGTATCTTTTCTTCCACAAGCCAACTTCACAAGAGGTGGGATATCACAGAAAAAGTCATCAATGACATTGTTACTACAGAAGTCCAAAGCAAAAGTTCCTTTGGTAACAATCAAAGAGTTAACAAAGCCACCAAGGTATGAGGATGCTATTAGACATGCACACAGCCTGCTGGGCATGACCTGAGAGTAAAGCAGTGGCTTTGAGATGGCCATATAGCGGTCATAAGCCATGGCAGCCAGCAGGTAGCACTCACTGTAGGCCAGCCCCGCAGAGAAGAAGAACTGGGCCACACAGCCAGCAAAGGAGATGCTTTTGTCTTCAGAGATGCATGTCACCAGGATCTTTGGGGTGTACACAGTGGAGTACCAGAGATCCAGGAAAGACAGATTCCCAATGAAAAAATACATGGGTGTGTGAAGTTGGGAGTCGTTACCGATCAACACTATGAGAGTGGCATTTCCTAGGACAGTCATAGAGTAGACACCAAGGAACACCACAAACAGGACCAGCTGCACCACAGGATCTGTCGTGAAGCCCACCAGGATGAAGTCAGTCACCGTGTGATTGCTCTTCCCCATGGCTAGAGGAATCTCACCCAAGAGGAGAGAAAATGTGTTCAGCTTAAATCCCTGTGTCAAATACATAGAAAATATGATAAATAAAGGACATTGAATTATTGCCAAACCTTGAAGCCTAGGATCTTGTAATGTAAGTGCTCATTTTAGAAAGAGCTATCATTTTGCAACAAAATCACTCAGACTTGTATGGTACTGGCACAAAGACAGAAATATAGATCAATGGAACAGAATAGAAAGCCCAGAGATAAATCCATGAACCTATGGACACCTTATCTTTGAATTATTGCCAAACCTTGAAGCCTAGGATCTAAGACAACCACTTTAACAAGTGGTGCTGGGAAAACTGGTCAACCACCTGTAAAAGAATGAAACTAGAACACTTTCTAACACCATACACAAAAATAAACTCAAAATGGATTAAAGATCTAAATGTAAGACCAGAAACTATAAAACTCCTAGAGGAGAACATAGGCAAAACACTCTCCGACATAAATCACAGCAGGATCCTCTATGACCCACATCCCAGAATTTTAGAAATAAAAGCAAAAATAAACAAATGGGACCTAATGAAACTTAAAAGCTTTTGCACAACAAAGGAAACTATAAGCAAGGTGAAAAGACAGCCCTCAGATTGGGAGAAAATAATAGCAAACGAAGCAACAGACAAAGGATTAATCTCAAAAATATACAAGCAACTCCTCCAGCTCAACTCCAGAAAAATAAATGACCCAATCAAAAAATGGGCCAAAGAACTAAACAGACATTTCTCCAAGGAAGACATACAGATGGCTAACAAACACATGAAAAGATGCTCAACATCACTCATTATCAGAGAAATGCAAATCAAAACCACAATGAGGTACCATTACACGCCAGTCAGGATGGCTGCTATCCAAAAGTCTACAAGCAATAAATGCTGGAGAGGGTGTGGAGAAAAGGGAACCCTCTTACACTGTTGGTGGGAATGCAAATTAGTACAGCCACTATGGAAAACAGTGTGGAGATTTCTTAAAAAGCTGGAAATAGAACTGCCATATGACCCAGCAATCCCACTTCTGGGCATACACACCGAGGAAACCAGATCTGAAAGAGACACGTGCACCCCAATGTTCATCGCAGCACTGTTTATAATAGCCAGGACATGGAAGCAACCTAGATGCCCATCAGCAGACGAATGGATGAGGAAGCTGTGGTACATATACACCATGGAATATTACTCAGCCATTAAAAAGAATTCATTTGAATCAGTTCTAATGAGATGGATGAAACTGGAGCCCATTATACAGAGTGAAGTAAGCCAGAAAGATAAAGACCATTACAGTATACTAACACATATATATGGAATTTAGAAAGATGGTAATGATAACCCTATATGCAAAACAGAAAAAGAGACACAGATGTACAGAACAGACTTTTGGACTCTGTGGGAGAAGGCAAGGGTGGGATGTTTCAAGAGAATAGCATTGAAACATGTATATTATCTAGGGTGAAACAGATCACCAGCCCAGGCTGGATGCATGAGACAAGTGCTCGGGCCTGGTGCACTGGGAAGACCCAGAGGGATCGGGTAGAGCGGGAGGTGGGAGGGGGGATCGGGATGGGGAATATATGTAAATCCATGGCTGATTCATGTCAATGTATGACAAAAACCACTGCAATATTGTAAAGTAATTAGCCTCCAACTAATAAAAATAAATGCAAAAAAAAAATAATAAGGTAATACAAGTTGAATGTCTTAAAAAAATCACTCAGACTTTACAGCTATATATTGCTAAAAGTTGACTTAAGCACATTATAATCTTTTAGTGTTTTTTGAGCAAACATCAGTTTGAATCAGGCAGCTCTAAACCAAATGTAATCAAGGGTTGTTTATAGACAGGGACAATGGGAGAGGTTTTTGTAGAGATAATGTGGAAGCAAAGCAAGAAAATTACCTGATTAGTCATAACTCAAGAGGCTGCCTTATTAGGGAAACCTACTAACAATTGGCTATGTTGAGTTGCTCTTAAGTTTCATTTTCTCAGTTTCAAGTGAATTAAATCTGCCTTTGGTTTTTATTTGCTCACATAGGCTGCCAAGGTATAATAGACATCTAAGTCTGATGGTTTCCTGTTGAATGACTTTTAAAATATTCAGTTCCAAATTTCTGTAGCTGGTTAATTATTTTTCCCTCTTAAGAATGATTGATCAACTAAAGGAAGTATGGGCTTATAATTTTTATTCTATTCTTATTTAGTCCTTTTTGCAATGACAGTTCGCTTTTGTGCTACATGTGGGTTTTGTAGCTTAAACTGTTACCTGTTTGTATGTTTGTATCTGAAATACTGAATTTAGCTATTTTAAATAAATAAAAATATGTATAAAATCTAGTATTTTTCTTTTAGTGCTTTCATATGTTGGGACAACCTATGCTGATACTGCTTAGTTGCTTCGGTCGTGTCCGACTCTGTGCAACCCTATGGACTGCAGCCTACCAGAAACCTCTGTCCATGGGATTCTCTAGGCAGGAGTGCTTGAGTGGGTTGCTATGCCCTCCTCCAGGGGACTTCCTGACCCAGGGATTGAACCCATATCTTCAGTATTGCAGGCAGATTCTTTACCACTGAACCACCAGGGAAGCCTGGGACAACCTATAGCTGTTAAAATTTGTATCTCTTAATGCTTTCTACAGGTAGAAAAAAACACAAGATTATAAGTAAAAAAGAGAATATATGCGAAATTTTGGGGGGGAAAGTATGTATAGGATCAGATCTGTATATATGTTCTGCAGTAAAAATTAGTGAACAATAATAATCTAAAGGGCCAATTTTGAATGTAATTCATACATACTGCATAAATAATATAGTACTAGAAATTATTGCATTATTTTAGATTTTTATTCTTTTCTAAGTTTTTACTATTAAAGAGTTTTTTCCATTGTAGGAACAATTTGGCTAAAAATATGTCTTAGAATATGATCGTGAAACTCAATATTGTATATGATAATGTGAACATCTCACTCTCTTCAGGATTCTCTGCAGGTAGAACTATAAATTTTCTCTTGAAATGGATGTGTGTGTGCTCAGTCACTCATTTGTGTCCTACTCTTTGCAGCTCCATGGACTATAGCCTGCCAGGCTCCTCTGTCCATGGAATTTTGCAGGCAAGATTAGTAGAGTGGGTTGCCATTTCCTACTACAGGGGATCTTCCTGACCCAGGGATTGAACTCATGTCTCTTGCATATCCTGTGTCTCATGCATTGGCAGGCAGGCAGTTCTTTAACACTGTGCCACCTGGAAAGCCCCCAAAGTAACGATACTACTTACTATATTTTGAGAAACCACCCTTTGCAAAACACCTTTCTGGGAATTTTACCTAATTCTCAATCAAGTGTCGAACATGAATTGTAGTTCCCATGAAAGATAGGAAAAGAGATTCAGGGCTATCAATTAACTTTCCCAGAACACTGGTGGTTGCCAACTGGCTAAGGTATTGTTCTTCCTAAATAAGGATACAATTTTGTGCTATAAACTTAATAATGCAGCTTTTTCCAACATTAATGTAATCACTTTCTTATATTTAGAGACAAGTTTATTTTGTTTGGAATTCATCTCAGAAACAACATATGCCTTTATGTTTATATAAAGAATATCAAACTGAAAGAAATTAAACAGTTTTTATGTCTTTTGAAGTTTAAAATTTTCTAATAATTTGTGCTATTTCATGGTTTTGCCTAAATTGTTTTTGAGATATTAGCAAAGCTGTTTCTTCTGTAAGTGGTTCCTGTTAAATGTTTGCTTATTAGTTTGTGCATTTATTTTTTCTCCTTTGACTTTGTAATATTTTTAAAAAATAATTTTTATCAGAGTATATTTGTTTATAATATTGTGTTGCCTTCTACTGTACAGCAAAGGGAATCAGCCATATGCATATGTATCTTTTTTTTTTAATTTTCTTTCCATTTAGTTCACCACAGAGCATTGAGTAGAGTTCCCTGAGCTTAACAGTAGGTTTTCTATTTTATACATAGTATCAATAGTGTGCATTAATTGCTCTTTTTTTGTTGTTTTTAATATGAAAATGTTATTTTCCCTTGTGATCCTCTATAATTTCAGAAACTGTGATGAGAAATTAGTGAATATATTTCAAAAGAGGGCCTTTCACTAGCACTTATCCTATCTGAGTATTTAAATGACCATCAGGCTGGTTGTAAGGATCAAATAAAAATTTCCTCTAACATACAAATTAGACAACTTACCTGAGGTTCTCAGCAACACCATCCACATTTGAATTGAACAGGATTCCAATCTATCAGTTTCAGAATCTTTTACATCAGTTTCTGGATCCCCAATATTATAAAGCCTTACAACCTCTCAGGATTTCATAAACTTGGAAAACAACTAGCAAGTCAATTAAATAAAGTATGTTGACAATTGGGTATTATTTAGTAATAGAGTCTTTTTTTCATTTCCTTTGAGATTACAATTCCCCACTGAAAATGAATCAGTAAAATTTTCATTCTCATTCTGTCTTGAATTATGTGGAACCTAGACAAAGCATACATTTATGTATACCATGTATACATAAAAAAGTGCACATATTTTGTGAATACCACATATGTTCATATATATACATATTAAAGCACAAATGTTCACTGATATTGGTATTTTTGTTATATGTTGATTACCTTCATTTGTCCTTCCAAATTCATTTTCCACCTTTTTATCCTTCTCTTTGCTCTGGGATGCTCAATCTTGTTAACCGCTTCTTGGACTCCTTTCTGTCTACTGAGTGTGTTACTTAACCAGTGGTTGCCATTGGCAGGGAAAAGAGTGAGGGAACAGTGGCGTTTCCCAGACTCCTTTCCTGCAAAGTGCCACATCTCAATACCCAGACCATAAAACCTGTCAAGTTTCCCATTTGAAAACTATCCCTCCAGTGCACATAACCACTCACTTTTCCTGCACAAGAGAGGAGATATCAGCTCTCAGAAGTTATTAGTTCTAGAGTAATCACACTA